AGTGTGGCCGCGGTGCCCATCCTGGCCATGGCCCTGGCAGTGCCACAGGTCTGATCTGGCCACCCTGACCCACCAGGGCCTCAAATCCCACCAACCTGCCCGGGCGAGCTCCTGCGTGGGAGGGAGCTGGGGGAGAAACGGGAGAGGTTTGGTGCTCCCCTGTGAGGCACTGAGTGCTCAGCTTGCTGGCTGAGTTTGCTGAGCAGAGAGGAGCAGAGAGTGGCTGAAACTGCTGGGGCACGCGGACCCAGAAATCAAGCCTGGACGTGGGGGACTGCGGCCGTTCCCCTGCCCTGCCAGCCCAGGGTGATGCCCTTGCCAGGTTTTGGGAGGAAGGAGGCCAAGGCCTCCTCGCTCCCCCATGGGGCCTGGGATTGCTGCAGTGTCCTGGGTGACAAAGAGCCACCTGTCCCCACTGGGTGTGCATGGGGACCACACAAAGCCTGGCCCCAGCATCCCACTGCCTGCTTGTCCCTGCCCTTTCCTTCTTTCTTTTCCTCTCCTCTCTCCTTTCCTCCTCTCCTCCCTTTCCCTTTCCCTTTCCCTTTCCCTTTCCCTTTCCCTTTCCCTTTCCTCCTTACCCTGAGGTTGTGAGTGTGATTTCACGCTGCTCAGAACACATGAGCTTTGACTTGCTCCGGGTCGCTACGTTTCAGAAATCCCAGTACAAGGGCTAAATCCCCGCGAGGTCATGGCTGTGCCCGGCACAATGGGTGTCAGGAGTTGAATTTCTCAGCCTGTCATGAAGCTGCGCCGTTATCTCCCCCAGGACACCAGGTCTGCATGTGATGATTGCTTAAATCTGCCGTGGTCCTTAAAATTATCATTAAAGACAAATACTGTGAATTGCAAAGAAAAGAACCATCTGCATAAAATGTTTCCTATTTATATAAAAACGTGCAAAAATGCTGTCGTTTCCCTAAGTTAGTCTTTGTTCAGATGTTTTTGCAAATGTAATTCAGATAAATACTTCCAAGTAATAACAAACTTTAAAGAAGGAAGCTCAGCAGTGACTCATTTGAACAAGCTTCAGCTACACACAAACCTCAGCCTCTGAAAACACTTTAGATCCAGAATAAAACATAATGCAAAGCCTCTGAGCTCCTGGGCTTGGGCTGTGGTGGGGATTAATAATATCACGGTACCAAGTAGAGTTTACAGGGGATTTTGGTGACACGTCCTTGTCACCTTTATCAATACCATTGACAAAAAATAACGAACAACAAACAGCGCAGTCTCTTTCAGGAGAAAGTGCTCCCCTACCAGCTTTCTGTCACCATGAGGGTGCGATACCTGTTGTGATGGTTATTCGATGGGGTGGGATATAATAAAATATCCCTGACAGCTTTGCTAAGGCAGGCAACAGCTTTAGCGTTCGTGCATGAGCAGCCCTCCGTACCCGCACACCTCAGTGCCCAGGACGAGGGCAGCCGAGTGCTGTGAGCCCCGGCCGCAAGTTCAAGCAGGAGATTCTCCTTTTTGGAGAGACAGAGAAATTATGGCTCTTTTTTTCTTTGCTTTTGGAACTTGTGCCATTCATTTCCAATCTTTCAAGCAATCTGGTGGGCAGCTCCTTCTTTAAATGAAAGCCAAGAGCCTAACGGGGACAGGAATCGAGGAGATTTTGAGAACAGCCACCAGCTTTTTGGTGAAGTGGTGGAGGCTGGTGAGAAGGGTGTGAAGCTGATAGAGGGGCCAAGGAAGGAAAAGCTGACATGGGGCTCAGGAGCTCCTCTAGTGTGAAGCTGGTGGCACATCTGGGGGGATGCTAAGAGCACACCTGGGGAGGATGCCCACCTGCAGCACACGGGTGGAAGCAGCCCGCAGCCGGGATGTCCATCCCCAGGGGACATTGATATTTTTGTACCCCGAAACACGCACGCTTACCACGTTTCAAATATTTCCTCTTTCAAATGCGCCGATTTGAGGAAGGGGTGGGGGAGTGTTCAGCCCTGCAAATGATCGTTAATGCCAGTTGTGTGTTTGCACTTGGGGGATTATGTTAATCATGCTACAAATGATGCTTTGAATCATGTCTAGAGGTTAATTAACATGCCTTTCTTCTCTTAAGAGGGCCTTCATGTCTGCTTAGAGTTGCTGGCTTTTTTCTGCTTCCTTTCATAATTACTTTGCAGCTCTCTAATATCATGGGTACCTTTAATTTAACCCTGTCAGTGCTCAGGCTGCCGTGCTCAGCATCATGATGGTGATTTGATGGGGTGGAATATAATAAAATATCCCTGACATCTGGAGATGTTGTGGCCGTTGTGGCCAGGCTGTCTTGTGCAGGCTGAGACCCCACAGGAGGTGATGGAAACTGGAGAGGGTCTGGCTGGAGCCAGGTGAGGAGAGAGGATGATGATGGGGATACTGCCCAGGGGTCACAGACAATTTATAAGCAGGACCCTTACACGGACAATTAATGGAAAGAAGGATCTGTTGTGGGAGGACCTGGAGCTGTGAGGGCTGGCGAGGGGCATCCCAAGGGGTGTAGGTGCTGTGGGGACAGGAGATTGCTCTTGGGAGGCCAACTGGTAGAGCTGGGAAAAACAGCTGAGCTTTTGAGCTCTGAGCTGCTTCATCACATCTCACTACTACTTTTTTTTGGTGCCAGATCACCATGTGCGTGCAAAATACGGCTTTCTCCTGAGCTCATTTATTTTCTCTTTCAGTGGGAGCATTTGGCTCATGGCTTCCTCAATGCTGCACTTCGGAAGCTAGTGCTGCTTCATTTCAAATTTCTATTTTTATTTTTCCAGATAGTCTCCAATTATTTTCAGGCTTTGCCAAGCATGTAATTTAAAATAACAAAGAAGCTGATCAGCCCATGGTATCCAGGTTAAAACCACACGGACGGTTTGCCTATGAAGCCAGTGATGGCCTGATGGAGCCAAGCACAAAATAACCCACTCAGGACAGGGGGGAAGGCTTCGCCCTCGGAGTTCCTTGGGTGGGTCTTTCCTGTTTTTTTACCTGTAGGTAAAAAGATTCAGTGAACCTTAGTGACAATGCACAGTAAACTTGCTTACCTTCTTATTAGAAAATGCTGAAAGGTTTCATAAACCTTCACTGCTGGTTTCTTGCGGCGTCAGTTCAGCACTGGGATCCTGATGTAATCAGATGTTTGCCCATCAGGCTCAGATCTGCGGAGCTACGAGCAGCCCTGTTCCCAGTGAAAAAGCACATGGGATGCTCGTGGAGATGGGAAGGTATTTGGAAAATCTGTTGCTCCTCTTCTAGCACAGGCTCTGGCACAAGGGAGAGCTGAGCGCTTTGGGAGCTCCCAGCTTGTGATGTGACCCAAGCAGGGAGCCACGTGCAAGCCTGGCTCCAAGGGACATGTATCAGGCCAGTGTCTTAATTTGGGATTATCGGGAAATCAACTTTTATCTCCTCATCCTAAGAGAGCAGATCCTTCCTGGCTTACTCTGTCTACCAGTCAGTTTGATTTTTAATTGCAATTACACAACCTTGGCAAGAGCTGTAAGTGCTCAGCAATTCTTGAAATCACTGTCTTCCTCTTTATGCATATTACTCTGCAGTAGACTTTATCTCCGTTCATTAGCCACCCAGAGATTTTGATGTACATTAATAGAACAGAATACACCCAGCATCTGGGAAACCTCTAATTCCTGGGCTCTGGCCTCATCCTTCAATGCCTGAGTAGCAAACCATAACCAGGACTCACTGACCAGTGAACTACTCACCACTAAACTGGGCTGAAATGGGTGCTAAAACCAGACCAGCTTATGGGTGGGCCACGGAACATCAAGTTGATTGAAAATACAGACAGGCTGCTCTTGGGATTGTGTCTATCAACTCTGCTGTCAATGGGAGATGGAAGCTGCTTTGCTTAAACAAAGGCAGGGAGAGGTGGGTATTAGCTGTGGCGTTGCTGCTTGGGCTGAGGGGCCAGGGGCTGGGCAGCAGCCAGGGCTTAGCTGAGATGTGGCCACTCATCACAGCGATGACCAGTTCACGCTGGGTCACCTGCCCAGAAACCTGCTCGACAAACAGGGAGGCGCTGGGAAAGGGCTTACCCAAGAAGGCAGGATGATAACAGAGTGCACGTTAAGAAGGTCTGATCTGGTACCCAGCGACAGTGCACTGCTTGCTGCCTAATTAAAATTTCATTAAGTTGGTTTGCATCCCTTGATGGAGGTCACAGGAACACCATTGATGTGCTAATGTCTTACTTTTTCCCTTTTTTTTTTTTCCTCTTTCACCACTATCCATCATCCTCTTAGATAAAGCAGTGCCATTAGGAACTGCTTTCCAGCATCCCCAGATGCAATGGCACTGGAAGAAAGACAGGATAATTCATCAGACATATTATCTGTTTCTTATTTTTTCCCTAATTAAAAAAATGCTGCTTTTTTTTTCTCTCCTCCTTTTTTTTTTCCCCCCCCTTGAATCAGTTTGGGCTTTAACCCCTCTGGTGTTTGTGTTGAATACCTTGATTAGCTTGGAAGTGAAAAAGTTACCTGGCAGGCCAGGACTGGCTAAGCTCTGTCTTGAGAAGGGGATTGTTCAATTTTGTGTGTAAGCAGCTAAATTTGGGTTGAGGAGAAGCATCCCCTGCGCGTGCTGTGGCACAGGCAGGTCCCCATCAACCAAATCCTTCATTTGAAGGAGAAGAAATGAAGCCTGGAGCCTTGTTGCTTCCTCTGCATCCCTGTGCTCCAGCCCAAAACACCCTGGCTCAGGGGACTCTGAGACATCAGCCACTTCCCCAGCAGCGTCACACCTGGGGCTCTACATTACTGCCAGGCTGGTTTGGGGAGGTTGGACCCACTCCCACCATTCCCATTTGATGACACTGGGCACTTCCCAGCGCTGCTGGGCAGCGGATAGCATCTGCATGGGAGCAGGATGGAAAGGGAAGATCAAATAGGAAGGATAAAGCTTTCAGATGGTGCCGAAAGGAAGGTAATTGCTGGGGAGGAGAAGACGAGGACGTGTGGGATCCTCTTCCTGGCCGTCGCTTTAATGCCGACCAGATGGCGGATGTTTGTTTCCGTGACTTATGTGGGGGAAATATGAACAAGCTGCGAGGCTCGATCCACCCACCCCTGCGCACGCAGTGTCTCCTGCAGAGGCAGGCGTCTCTCTTGCACCCAGGTGCCTATTCCTTCTTTGTACCAAGATCTCTTGCCCCTTTGCCCAAAGAGAAGGCACTGCTGTTTCGGGTGCAGGGCAGTCTCGACCAGTGTGGTGTGGATGAAAACAGGGTTTTAGGGTTCAGTGCAAAACTCACAGGAAGGTTTGGGAGGAGCGAAGGACTTGGTGGCCAACGTGGTGCTGGTGGCTGCAACTCGTGAGATGCAGGGGCACGCAGAGACCTTCTCAGGTGCTGGAGTGGAGGGAAGGCAGATTTGCTGCTCCAGCGCTGCTGCTGCCCTGCAGATAGAAACCAGTCTGAGTATTTGCACTGATCCTGTCCAGCCCACTTTATTTGCCCTCTAACAGACAGTGGCAACTGCTCCTCCTCTACCAGGAGCCTCGCCAGGGGCTTCTTGAGCCACACAACAGAGCCATATCCAGCTGCCAACATCTGCATCCACTTCCCAGCATCAGCCCCTGGTGTGGCCTCCCGGGTCCTCGCCAGCGCTGCTGCAAACCCCAAACCCCAGGTCCTCACTCAGCACCTCCATCCAGCGCTGATTTATTTTTTTGAAAAAGTTTAAAAACCCTGATGTCTGTTTGGTTTCTGCCTCTCCAGGTACAGCATTGTCCAGTCTAAACCCAAAACATCTTTGAATGAATATTCAATCACAGAGCTCTGATGAGAAGGGATTGCATATAACAAAAATAAAATTGTTTGATTAATTTTGCCCCCTCTTCTCTAGAGTTGCTTTTACAGCCAGTTTTTCCCCAGCTTGTTTGAGGTTTCTCAGACCTTTTCTCCCTCAGCAGACACTCCCAGAAAGGCAGACATGCTGTGACCTTCACGTTTTCTTTTTCTCACTTACCCCATGGCTTTATTTCCTAGTTCTTTATGGTATTTATTTTCTGGCCCCATTTGCAATGTGAGCAGGGCTGAAATACCCAAGCAGTCTCTAACCTTGCCTTCACCCTACTGATCTGGGTACCACAGAGCCCATCCAGGATGGCAGCTCTCAAGGATGGTCAAGTTCTAATTAATAAATTGTATTAATAAACTAATGTGCATCACAGTGTGACTCGGTGCACAGGATGCAATGGCAAAAGCCAAGTCAAACACCAGGTACCATTTCTCAGCACTAACTCACTGGACTGGATAGTTTTTTCTCCCTTTGCCCTTTTCATTTTAAACTGGAAAGATTGTGGACACTGCCTTCAGAAGATGGGTTAACTGTTTGGTTTTTTAAATTTTCATTAGGGCTATTAAGTGATTCTTCCCAGGATGGTCATTGTGTGACCTTTTAATTTTGATTTTTTTCGGTGAATGAGACAGCACCTTCAGTAGATTTATTGCTTAGCAAATGGCACAGCCGTGGCACGTGTCAGACCTGTAAAATATTAAAATAATGGGTAAGGGATTGTTGTTAATCGGAATTTATTACGCTACATAAAGGCATATTTACAGTCCCACCAGGGGACTATTAATTTGTTTGGGGATAAACAATTAATCTCCCTGGGAGTGGGAGCAGAAAATCTGATGTGGTTTTATGTCTTTTCCCAGCGTGGCAGATCCAGGATAGCTCACAGCCCTGGGGCTGCCGGGCTCCCTGGGGAGGTCTCCTCAGCACAGCCATGGGTCTGTGGTACCAGGGGGCAGGCAGCCCACCGGGCAGCGAGGTCCCGCTTCTCCCTGGCTGGTTTTGCACTGGGAGCTGTGTTCTCTGCTGTGATGAATGGGCTTTTTCCTGCCCCTACTGAGCTGGACTCTCACAGAGGCCGTGATGCATCATGTTTGTTTTCCCCCCATCTATGTTTGGGTTTCAGCTTTTGCATCCTGTTTCCTGCATCCTCTCCTTTCCGCTCAAGATGCAACAGGCACAAACAGAGAGGAGAGAGGGAGGTGCTGCACAGTTGGAAGGGGGTGGTTTTGAGCTGCTACTCTTTGGTACCTTTGCTCCATGGACTTCTTCAAACTTAAGGCTCATTATTTTTCTTCAGAAGCAGCTGTTTGATCTGCAGGTGTGATTCCAGTGCAGGGCAGGAGCACTTGTGTTTAATTCCCAGACGAGGCCCTGGAAAGGTTCTGACAAACGCAAAATTTCAGGTTTACAAGAGCACATCCAGTGTTTTGTCAGGTAATGCCAATGCATCAGGGGAAGAAGTTCACAGCTTCTGTTCAAGCAGCTCTGATCATTGCATACCAGGATAATGTAGGAGCCAAAGATCAAGACCACTGGCTTGCAGCAGCATCTCTTGCCATCTGCCCTACATTCCTCATGCCTTTCCCTATTGCCACCTATTTTGGAGCAGCTGTTCCACTGCTGTCCCTTGTGCCTCACAGCAAAAGCACTCAGCTGCATTACCCCTTCTGCCCCCCAAGCTGCCCGGTGGCCTTTCAGTGGCTCAAGCATCCCTTGCCTGTGTGGTGGAAAACAAACCTCACCATCTACCCCTGCCTCTTGCCCACGTGAATTTTAACATATTTATTCAACATGAGATCTTAGCTCCCTTTGCCAAGGCCTGGTTGGATTTGGTCAGTTTTTGGCCACCACCATGTACATCAGGGTGTTGCTGGCCCCAGGACCCCACAGTCTTGCTGCCACCTGTATGAACCCTGATGGCAGGGCCTGAACCAGACCCAGCTCTTCCTTCAGCGTAATGCTCACCTGCACCCATCCTGTTTGTGCCTTTTTTCTCAGCACAATGTCCTGAAAAACATCTTTGCACCTTTCTGTTTGGGATTAGC